CAACTCAAAAAAAAAAAAAAAAGAAAACGGCATTTTAAAAGATTTCAAAATAAGAACTTTAAACTTTTGCATATACATTTGAAAGCACATTCATTCCAGGTGCAGAAAGTTGCCACCAAAGGGACTCATAGTTTCCCTTCCTATGTCACAACCTGTTATATTTTACTGGCAATATGTTTATTATTTCTGCTTGGCTATGACTCCTCCAAGACAGGATCTGAATTGTAGTCAAATTTGTATAGAAAGCATAGTACTTGGCACAATGTAATTGACACACCATTATTTCATGAATTGGATTAAATTGAATTAAATTAATGCCAGTAAATGTTGCTATCCAATCAGCCATTAAAGACTGGGGGCTTGTAGCAGGCAACACAAAGACACTAGCTAGCCCTGACTAGGTATTCTTTTAAAAAGTTAGTTTGATGGTTTTTATTAAAGCTGACATTGGAATTTTATAAGCATATTAATAAATAGTTAATTGATTCCACATTTCTCCTCAACCACAAACAGAACTGGGTACCTATTACACAGTCATCTTTTACATCCAAGTATCTCTCTTAAGTATAGCATAAAATAAGCGATCCCTGCAGAGACAACTTGTGAATGTACTTTGTTTTAAAAGCACATCTATCTTGCAAATCAGTGTTACAGGTGCTATATTTTAGAGAGCAATTAACCTCTAAATATTTCCAGGGCACCTGACACTCAGCAAGTGCTTTTCTTGGCATGTGGTGGACTAAAATAAAAAAAATCATAATTGCAAGGTCAAATCATAATCAAACAAACAGGAATGCTAACACAAAGTAAACAAATAAAGGCACTTAAAAGAATTAAGAAGAAATCTTGTGAGGTAGATGAAGTGGTCTGTGTCATGATTAAGAAGTGAGTTCAAAGCTGGACCCCTGAATCAGGAGAGAGAGGATTTAAATTAGGCTCTTTGTACTGATGTGGGGGGCCTCACCCCTGTGGCTGCTACTCTGAAAAATATGCTGGAAATAGGCTTGAGGGGACCTAAGCAAGTCATGAGCCACGTACAGTGAGAATGCTGTCAGTGCAACTGGTAAAACCTTAAAAGAGAAGAGCTACTGCACCAATGTCATGACACAGAGATGGTTTCCTCTGATAACGCATTTCTTAAAAGTAAACAAAGCTGTGGAGTGGAATACAATTCATTCGTAAGCCCTAGTGACAAAAGCATCAATAGTAATCCTTGGAGTACAGAAAAGTTATGTGATTCTTATCATATTGTCTGCCCCCTACTCATTCTCCCAGGGCTAGTTTGATATTACAAATTGAAATACATAATGTTTGGATTATAAACAGTTTAGTTAAGCTTGTTAACCAATCCAACTAATATCTTTAGCAAATTTTTCAAAATGTGGACAACAATCAATCCTCTGGATGGGTGCCATACATTCAAACCCCATACCAAATTCTTACCCACCTCCTAATGATACAACAAAATTCTCCCACTTTAAAAATTTTGTTTACAAAAAATAAAGATATGAAGCAGGATCGTTTTCTTTAGCATATACGGAATATTTTGTCTCAAAACCATGAGGAGCATAAAAATGATCTACTGTTATGTTAGTAGATGAAAACATTGCTCCCGGGGGTACTTATTTATTTCTAAAATTGTTTTTTATTTTATATTAAAGTAATAAATGCACATAATTTTAAAGCATGTATTTTCCAAAAGTTTATAACATAAATAGTACTTCCCTTTACTTTTTAGTCTATTACTCAAACTTATCCCTAAAAGGTTTTAATTCTTTGGGCTTTTTCTATTTAAATCTATCTCAATATTTAAAAATAATTGGCCATACTATTGGCTAATAATTACTATTTCTCCAATCATTAATTTTGGATATGATAAGTTTATTTTTATTACAGTAATTAAATTCTCTCTGCACCCAGTCAGAAACACACACGCACACACACATACACACACACACACACACACACACACACACACACACACACACACACTTTCTTTCCTATCACATCCTCCCAGTGTAGTTATAAGTTAATTTCTGAGCTAAAAATCAGTTTACTTTATTTAATATGACTTTGTAATATATACCATAATTGTACTTATTTTGTTGTACATTTTCCCCTATGAAATTAATAAATGCCTCATTTCTCTTATTTTTCCCATTTTCTTTGGAGTCATTACTGCATTTCACAAATGTTCCAACAGATCTTTTAGTAAATATAAATTTACTAATTTGTCAATTAGTATATTTTCCACTCAACCAGATAGAATCCTTTTTTGTTGGGGGTGGGGATCATGACTGCTGTAGAAGACCTTCACTTTGCAGCTCTTCATCCTTCTACTCAGGTCTGCACCAACTACTTTCTAGGCATCCTGCATAGTAATCAGATAGTATTCCATTGCTCTATTACTTTGGATCCTTCTTTTTACTAGATCTCACAACCTTCTCATTTTCAGTTTTCTCCTTGTTTTCTTGAAGCATATCCTATAGCAGCTTTCTAAAAGGAAGGTCAAGGGAGATTAATTTTATGAACTTGTACATCTAAAGATGAAGTTATTTTCATGTCATACATAATAGATAATTTGCCTGGGTATAGAATTCTGGGTTGAAAATAAGTTTCAGAATTTTTTTTAAAAAGTTGCTTTCCTTATCTTATAACATCCAGTATTTTTATTAGAAAATCTGCAGACAGTTGGATTCTATTTCATTTATTTGGTCAAATTTTTGTTTCTGATAATGATTGTTTTTCTCATATTACAAGTATCTAGGATTATCTCTTTTTCTTAAATGTTTTTGGATTTCCTGATAGATGAAAATTTTTTTCCCTTAATAAAGATGTGGGGTACAATTCAGGGTTAGGTATACAAACGTTGATTATGCAGGTACCCTTGTTGATGAGGTATGTTGCTCCCTCCCCTAGCAGTTTCCCTCAACTGCCAGTCCCGCCCCCCATCCCTACCTGGACAGTTTCCCACTACTGCCAATCACTTTCTTATAGCATTATAATTGTTCCAGGTCCACTTATGAGTGAGAACATATGGTACTCTGTTCTTTGTTTCTGTGATAGATCACTGAGTATGATCAACTCTAAATTCATCCAAGTTGCTGGGAAGTCCATATGTTTGTCCTTCTTTATGGCTGCATAATATTCCACTATGTATATGTATCACATTTCTTTTATCCAGTCCAGCTTTGATGGGTAACATGGTTGGTTCCATGTTTTTGCTATTGTGAACAGAGCTGCAGAAAACATACATGTGCAGGTATCTTTTTTGTAGAATGGTTTTTGAGTTCCTCCGGGGATATTCCCAATAGGGGAATTGCTGGGCCATATGGAAGATCAATTTCTAGCTCTTTCAGAAACCACCACACTGTCTTCCAAAGAGGCTGCACTAGTTTGCATTCCTACCAGCAGTGTAGAAGGGTTCCTTTTTCTCTGCATCCTTGCCAGCATCTGTTGTTGTTTGTTTTATTAATGATTGCCATTCTTACTGGGGTTAGGTGGTATCTCAATGTGGTTTTGATTTGCATTTCTCTGATGATGAGTGAGACTGAGCACTTTTTCATGTGTCTGTTGGCTGTCTGTATATCTTCTTTTGAGAAGTGTCTATTCATGTCTTTTGCCCACTTTTTTTAAAGGGGTTGTTTGTTTTTCTCCTTTCGGCACGTTTGAGTTCCTTATAGATCCTAGATATCAGGCCTTTGTCAGATATACAATTAGCAAATATTTTTTCCCATTCTGTGGGTTGTCTCCCTGCTCTGATGGTTTCTTTTGCTTTGCAGAAGCTCACTAATTTGATGAGGTCCCACTTGTCTATCTTATTTCTTAAGGTATTGGTCTTTAGGGTTCTGAATAGGAATTGGTTCCCAGTTCCAATTTCCATTGTGGAGATTTCTGAAAGAACTAGAAACTGACCTTCCATATGACCCAGCAATTCCCCTATTGGGACCATACCTGGAGGAACTCAAATATTTCTACAAAAAAGCTACCTGCACACGTATGTTTGTTGCAGCTCTACTCACAATAGCAAAAACATGGAACCAAACCTGTTGCCCACTGAAGCTGGAATGGATTTTAAAAATGTGGTACATATACACAGTGGAATATTAAGCAGCCATAAAGAAGGACAAATATATGGACTTTGCAGCAACTTGTATGGATTTGGAGTCGATCATATTCAGTGATCTATCACAGAAACAAAGAACTGAGTTCCATATGTTCTTACTCATAAGGTGACCTGAACAATTATAATGCTATAAGAAAGTGACTGGCAGTCATGGAAAACTGTCAGGGGAAACGGGGGTGGGACTGGCAGTTGAGGGAAACTGCTAGGGAAGGGAGGGGCATACCTCATCAACAAGGGTACCTGCTTGATCCATGTTTATATACCTAAACCTTAATTGTACCTCACAGCTTTATAATAAATAAATAAGTAAATAAAAGAAAATATATTTCATGCCTGATCATTAATTTTTTTGCTGATCCTTATTTTTAATTTTATTGAGATCTTATTCAAAGAACTCACTATTTAAAAAGATGTGCATTTTTCTTTTCATATAATATAGCAAATTGAAAGACTAAAACTTTCCATTTGGAAATAAAATATAGATAATTCATTTCTAAGCGTGTTAATTTCCAATCCACTAATAAATTGTTGCCTTCATATCCTTCTCAAGGACGGGTTTCCTAGCTTATTTGGACCTTGAATTTCCCCTACTGTTCTCTGCATCAAGCCCAAGTTTCTAACTTTTAGCTTATCATCATTTGCCAATTTTTTCTGTACTATTTGATACACAACATTGGCTTTCTACCTTTTACTGCATGCGCCCATTGTGCCCAATCTTGAATGTGAATAATATTCTTCAATATATTCTTCCATGCTATTATTTTGTCATCCAGTTGCTGGTAATCTGCTTTTTTTTTTTCTTTCTCAATGCTTTTTTGATTCTCTATTTTTCTATATTTAATGTTTTAACTATAGCACATCTTGGTGTGAGTTTGTTATTGATTCTACCCAGGACCTAGGGTGAGTTGTCATTATGAGGACTTAAATCTTTCTTTAGCCGTTATGTGTCTGTATATTGCCTTTCCCTTTTTTCCTCTGTTCTTTCCTCTGGAAATCCCAAATAGGTTATGTTTAATCCTTATCTTTCCAACCTTTATGTCATAATTTTCTTGCAGAGCATGGGCTTAATGCCCTAATTACCATCCTCTGTAGATGTTAAAACTCCAGAGGGGTGTCAAGAGAGGCTACGGGGTAGACCTGGACTTCACCCCTACCTGGCTGTAAGGAGACAGCACCTGTCTTCACAGTTACAGAGTTTGACTGTTGGCAAAGACATTACTGAGTAAGAAGATTGATGACATCCCTTAATTTGTAACACATACCATATGCAACCTCCTCTTGATCCCATTCCTAGGAATAAATCACCAATATATGAGTTCTGTGTTGCTGTAGTTACCTGGGCAAGGCAGAGCACAAGTTTCCTCCAGAATCATGTTTTTATTAGCATCTATCATGGGTTCAATGTTAGCACAGAACTCCTCATCCACCACTTTGCTAAAGTCATCAACTGACCCATCACTCACTACACAAGAAATGTTCCTTGTTCTTGTCCCTTTCCACACTGGGCTTCCTGGAATGGAGGAAGAAACAATTAATTAGGAAAGAAGAAATAATTCATTAGAGAACTCATCACTTACAGTCATCTATGCACCATTGATTTTGATTTATAAACAGTTAGAAAAGCATTTGAAACCCTAGGGAGGAAGCCCTACAGGGCACTAGCGATAAAGCATACACTGAACCATTTATTTGTTTTCTAGCCAAGGACAGGCAAATAAATTTTCATTAAAATGAATCCATCTCCAGATGATTTTAAAAGTACAGGGCAGGGAATGTTTGTTACCAATGGTTATAAAATGGCAAGGCACTTAAAATCTTCAAGAGGAAGCTTATTATTTGTAAGCTTTAAAAATATTTCTGAAACTGAGTCTTTGCAGATGAAGAATACACACTTGCACATGACTTCCTGAGATCTGATACCTGCACTTGACATGGAGACCACTGGCCATATTGCCACCAATAACAGGGCTTTACTGGGCAGGGTTTGGACTGGTCTATCAGGGAAGGGCATGGTCTTCCATCACCCTGAAAGGGCTGGGTCACTGTTTGTCTTTGGATCATTTTTCCTTTAAGAAATACAAAGATGCCACCTTAGTGATTTGCTGTAGTTGTGTAAGTATATATCTTATTGGGAGAAGGCATCACAGTGATGTCTCCCGAGGATATCCAGGAACAAGTAAGGCTCAGATGTTTTGGAAAGAAAGACATTCAATCCAACCTTTCTGAAGATGATCTGATATGATTTAAACCAAGAGAGACATTTAATTTCATATTCATTGACCATGAGCCAAATACTTATTGCAGGACAAACACACCTGTAAGGCCACGTACTGGAGAACATTCTGACCAAGAAGACCAATCAGAAAGCTGACAGTTCACAGGGCATTCCACCACGCAGGTTGTGTTCACCTGCCAATTCTTTTCCAGGCCAAGCTGAAAGACAGAGGTAGAACCGTCTGTACTGACATGGAAAAATGACCATAGTATATTAGTAAGCTTGGGGAGGGGTCCAGAAAGAAGAGAGAGATAATGGGAAGAGAAGGGGAGCAAGAAAGCTGCATAATAGAATAAAAAGGTATCTGAGGGACAATCATCCAAACTGTTAAAAGGGAAACCACTTATATAATATTAATATAGGGTTGTGGGCTTAAAAAGGTAGAAGAGACCCAAAGGTGCAGCTGTAGTTAGAAATGAACAAATGTATTTCTCCTAAGTTCGCTTTCCATTCAATAAAACAAACAATTGATGTTCTTCACGTCCTGACCTGGGGGAGTTGGGAAGATGCCCTGAGGCTCAAAACATATCTTCTCTTAAACAATGAGCCTAAGATGGCACAAATCTCCTTGTGGTGACATCCAGGGACATCAAGGGGATGATTGGCTGAAACTCCAAGGACCCCACCACCAGCATACCTCTTTAATGGCTGATGGGGTCAGTAGCTGATTGATGGTCATGGGACTTGCTCTATGACTAGTCTCTCTATAATAAAACTTAAAAATGGTATTAGAGATTTTTTCAGACTTTGCACTCTGATGGCCTTGTCCCACCCAGACCTGGGACATAGACCAAGAAGCTAGCTCTTCCGGGCCCGTGACATCCCCTCCCAGAAACTGGCCTTGCAACATGAAACCAGTTTTGAAACCTCCCATGATATCATCTTCAGGTAATCATTAGTCCCTAGTCCCCTGCCTGCCAAATTCCCTTTAAACGTTCAAGTCTCTGAATTCTCGGAGAGGCAGATTTGAGAAATATCTCCTGTCCTTTTCCATCAGTAATATTAAACGCTTTGTTCACTGTATCAGTCTCAGTTTTTCTAGGCAACGGGCATGGGAACCTGGTCAGGCTGTAACAGAAGTATAAAGTGGTTTGACCCCGGAGAGTGAGAGTCAAGGGCACAGGTGAAAGGAGGGACCCAGTGACTCTATACTTGTATATTGTTTGAGCATTTTCAGTAAGCAATAAAAAAGTAGATTTAATCTTTAAGTTGGTTGAGTTTCCTTAAATGAGAAACAAGTAAGTGTTAGCACAGTTACTTTCCATTATTAAAAATCAATAATATCATCAATATTTAGGTCTACAATTGTATCTTAAGGATGTTATTTGTTTTGGCATATGCATATTAAACTGGAAAACAAACAAACAAAAAAATTCTAAAGACAAACTGCCACTCAAGACTAATAATATAGTATATGGAAATAATTGAAAAAATTAGTTTTTAAGTCAGTTATCTTTCTCAAAAGGAAATGTGGGTCCTGATGGATTTTTTTGATTGTGAAGATCTTATGTGCATTTCTTTACAGAAGTCTTCCCTTCTAAAATTGATTTCAGCAACTAGCTGTGATAAATTTTGGGTTTTATATTTTGATTTCTCCAGTTATTTTGGTTTTAGACCTCTCGTCAGATACTATATGACATTTTATTGGCATTTGGGTTCTAATGTTTATTATTTACACATTCAATTTTACAAATATAAATGGAGATTTCAAATTTTTCTGTATATTCACACATTTAGAAAGTCTAAGATACAAAGTAGCATTGAAATCGGAAAATTTAAGAGCTTATTAGGAGAATACAATTATTTTATTGGTAATTGTTGGAATTTTCAAGGCCTTTTACATTTACTCTGCTTGAAAGAGAAGTTAATATTTTCTAATTTATACAGCAGAAGAGAATGGCAAAGGAAACTTTTCCTGAAACATTACGCAGTGTCCCCAGTACAGCTCTCAGCTCTAAGTTAACCGCTGAGAGAGGATCAGATCAAAGCTTTGTGTACTATGTCTCTCTGCAGGCACTCTCATTATATTCTACACCAAGAACACTTGACAGAGCTCAGTATTTAGTAGGAAAATTTTTACCACATCATTTAATTAAAAGCCTCTTAAAAGTCATGGAAGGTTGGAGATAGGAGTCTTGAGGTGATATGATGAAAATAATGTGTTATAGTAAAGGTAGATAATAGTTTCATGGAAAGAGAGTTTGAATTGTAGAATTCTAGATACTTAGTTATTTCACTAGATAGTGAACAAGGATGTATGTTTATAGGTATTTTGGGTGTGCACTAATTAGACATTTTAACCCTGTATTACTTTTTCCTTTACATTGACTGTATCTCTTTCTCTCTCTCTTTCATATATCTAAACATAGGTATCTAAACAAGTTTTTAAAAATTGATTCATAGATCAAAGAATAGGAAAGGAGAAGTCAATTTCTACGTATGAGAGAGTAAATGTCTGAAAAACACCAAAGAGAAAAATACGACATAAATGCTAGGTGGCTTGAACCCTAATTTTCCTCTGTTGGGTAGTAATGCCATCCTTCCTTGTGGTTATTAGAGAAGCAGCAAGTGTTACCTGCTACTGTTGCACTCAGTGCAGGGTCTGCATACTCAGATTTTTAACTCCTTGAAGACAGAGTGTGCTAGAATGCTGAAATTTGAATCCCTAACTTTCATTGCACTATTCAAGTATTTTCAAGTATTAAAATATTTGCACATAAGGGTAAGCTTATCTAGGCTCCTTGATAACTAAAATTAGGTATTTTCAAGGGTTTTACTCATTATTTCATCTAGGAAATCGAGGACTTATGTAGAGCTTTACCTTTTAGTCATATAAAATAGTATAAAATTGGTCATGAATGATTCGGGTTCAGCTTTCTCAAAGTTCTCAGAGCTATTTATTTTATATTTCATTCTGACCCAAAAGGACATGTATATAATTGCAAAAGGGTGGAAAAAAAACCCCAAATTAATCTACTAGAAAGTAGGTAAATTAGAAGCCCATCAGAATAGAAAGCTCTCCAGTCAGTATATGACTATTATATTCTTTATTAATAATATTATTTTCGGAGTCAGACCTAGAAGATGGCGACGGCATAGGTGAACTGGTGTGATTCTCCGAACGTGAGTTCCCAAAAAGGCTATTACTTCTCTTCCCCCATCCCCCAGTCCACCACCAACCGTGCTGGTGCCAGGCCCGGGAACTTCAGTCCCACGCAGGACCAGATATTGCGGCCCCCCCCCACTGCTGCTGTCCTACTCGTGTGTGGAAGTCTCTGGTCCCAGCCCCCTCCAGATCCCTCCCCGGCTGCATTGTCTCCAGCCCGGGCACCTGGCACCAAGCTGCCGGTCACACAGGGAGGCTCTGGGTACCCGCTCCTCAGAGACACCGGTCCCATTCCTGGCTGAAGTACTCTGTAGGGGGCCCAGCGCCACTCTCGCTGCTCACCGCCTGCCCTTTGGAACTCTGGAGCTCTGGAACTCCGGGTCCACCCTGGCTGAGGCACTCAGCGCGAGACCCCAAGCCGGAGGACCCAGACAAGCAGAGAAAAACAGATCTGCTTAAACTGCCTCGCCATTCTCCAGGCAGAGACTTCCATTGCCCCACCCATCTATCAACAAACTTTACCTCATTTCCTAAGGCCAGATATTGCAGCACGCGGGGGAGTTTTGGGTCCCTGCTCCCTCCAGCTCTCTCCCCGGCTGCAATGTCTCAAGCCCCGTACCTGGTACCGCCGGTCACACAGGGAGGCTCTGGGCGCCAGCCCCTCAGAGACACCGGTCCCATTCCTGGCTGAAGTACCCTGTGGGGGGCCCAGAGCCACTCTCACAGCCCACTGCCTGCCCTTTGGAGCTTTGGAGCTCTGGAACTCCGGGCCCACCCTGGCCGAGGCACTCAGTGTGAGACCCCAAGCCGGGGGACCCAGACAAGTGGAGAAAAACAGATCTGGGTAAACTACCTTGCTATTCTCCAGGCAGACTTCCATTGCCCCACCCACCTATTAACAAACTTTACCTCAGTTCCTAAGGCAACAGCGCAAAACAGGAGACAAAGCCCCACCCCATGCTGCAACGAAAAACAAAAGGGAGAGGCTGGAATCGGAGATCACAGAAGTGACTCTAGTCTGATCGCTTA